CCCATACTCGGGCAGAACCACCTAGTGGGCTACACTCGACTGTAGCCCATGTAGCTTTTTGAAAAAGAAAATATTAAACCTATATAGCTCATTAGCTGAGGCTATCATCTTGTGGCTTCTTGGCAGTTTCTCACGTAAAAAAGTATATATAAGTTTGAAGTCTCATAGAAAGAAATAAATATCCTAGTATCCTCAATTATAATAAACTATGTCAAAATAATATATCTATATATATATATATGTGAAACTTATCCTAGCAACAATCCTAAAAAAATACATGCTCATTTTTCTATTATTTGTTACAAAAGTCTCATTGGTAAAAATTTTATCCCTAACTCTCCAATTTTAATATTTTCATTGATTTCTCTCCATAAGAGAAAGATGTGTCTCAATGAAATTCACCCTTACGAATAAGATGAAATGAAAATGTCACAAAGATACCAAACACTTACGCAAATATCCAAAGCTCGAGCCCTTCACCTTCAAGCCACCACCATGTCCACTAATTCATCAGAACCACTAGTTCCAAACACTATAAGATCTCCTGTTAGACATGCATTCAATGATTTCCTTTACACAGAGATCTACATTGGCACACCTCAGAAAGCCAACTTGCACATTGACACCGGTAGCTCTATGACATGGGTTCAGGGGAAAGAATGCCAAACATGTTTTCCGGTGTCAATACCTAACTTCGACGGCAAGCAATCGACCACATGCCGAGCCATGCTTGCTAATAACCCACTCTGTGTTCTTCCAGCCACGGGGCTTGTTCCTATTTCTAGGAGTCAACCCACCAATATTCTGGAACAACTAAACCAAATCACCCTTCAAAGATTCTCCTACTGCCTTCCACCACAATTTGAGTCCCAGCCATCCTTGTTACATTTGGGTAACGATGCTGAAATTCGAGGCGGTACCAATGTGTTTGCCACACCAATTTTGGGCGCTCCAAATGACCATTATTATGTGAGATAAAACGCTATAAATTTCAATGGAAAACGTCTCCAAACCGACCCGAACTTGTTCTCGAGAGGTGGAAGTGGGATCATAGTTTCTTTCAGGATCTCCGTAGGCTCTTATTGTGGATGATGCATTCAATATCTTGAGCCAACAAGTGGTGGACTACTTTCACAACATGTACGGATGGCAACCAATTCCGAAAGGTACGAGTGATGAGTTCGACCTCTGCTACCAGAACACCCCTACAGTGTTTACGGCCCAATCTGTGACGCTTCACTTCGAAGGAGGAGACCTCGAAGTGCATAGACCCACACTCTTCCAACATCTTGAAAGTTAAAATGAGTTTTGCATGGCGATATTGTCAAGGGGGACAATAATAGTCCAAACCTTGTAGGTGCGGCTCAGCAGGTTAATTACAGGTTCTTGTTTGATGTTGGTGCGAGGAGATTGTCTTTTGGTCAGGAAAATTGTGGAAGATTGGAATAAGTACTAGCTTACCACTACTCTCTAGGATCATGAAATGGTTCATATATTGTGCCCATCAAACTCCATCAAAATAAATAATAACTCTTTTTCTTTGCCATATGTTCTTAATTTTTTCTTTTAGATGTACATGTTATATGCATGGATTTGAGTTTAGCTTGAAATTTATTCCAAAAAAAATATAAAGGATTACAAAATAATTGACCTAGTTGTAATTGAAAGGAAAAGAATGTGACCGTTAGGTGACTGCCAAATGAAACATACCTTTTTCTTTTTCTTTGAATTTTTATTGAGGAGGAGGGCATAGAACCCTGCACCGATTTATTATCAAATTTGTTTTTACTACTTTAGAACATAAGAATCAAAAAGATTTCAGAAAGAATTCAGCCTTCAAATTGGTGAAGTTTGATCATCAGTACTAGAGATATCTGGTTCCTTATTTCCAATAATACTATGTTAAACTTCTATCATGAAATTTGTCATAAGGCTAATGAATGAGTCAACAATGTAAGTTTCATACTGCATTGATGGATTCATTAAGGGACAAATGTGGTCGGGAAACTCCGTGGAGGCAAGAAAAATGGCTGGGCAGCTCCTCCGGCGATCCTGTGGAAGGCTGGTGGGCGACCCATGCGTGCACACCAGGTGCTCGACAAAATGCCACATTGAAACTCTCTGCATCTGTCAGCAGCTCTCGGCAGCGCTCGCATGCCCTGTTGGAACTTGCAGTTAGCGTGGCGTGGTCTAAATATTAATCCTGGTCAGGCAATAGCTTAAAAACCCTTTTCTGAAACTTTTCCTTTTATGTAAGACCATTTAAGTATATAACCTATAATTTATAGTATACATCCCCAAGTAAGTTCAAAATACTTGGTTTTGGTTGTGTGTACATGTTTGTTTGGCAGCCCATCTATAAATTTTACACTTTGAAGTTTCAAGTAATTAATTAGAAAATCATCCAAAAAAAATAGAGATGAGTCGTTCGGTTGTGTATCATACCTAGCCTAGCTGTGGAGTATATATATAAATAGTCACTTCAGAAACTTCCTAGTTCAACCACCTTCATCTGTGTGATTGAAAATTGACAAGCACTATCTTCCAATCTCTTAAGGGATCCATCTCCGTTTATAGTATAGGAGATGCTGCAAGTGATCTCAAAGAAGAACGATTCTCTTTATGAAAATTCAATGACAGAAAACTCATGGATAAAACGCACTAATTTTTGGTGGATCCACATCTTCAAACTTTGTTGACACATTCCAAGATGGCAAGATTAATATTTCCTCAATTGCATTCACCTTATGGTATGCAAAAGTTAATTATCACACCTTATAAATATCCTATTTCTTGTGAAGCTGGATCAAATCAGATAATCAAAATTCAAACATGAGCCCGAGAAACATGTCTAAAATAGTTCCAGTTTTCTTTTTCGTTCTAATGGTCTTTCTCATGTTTCCGGCAACCATGGGAGGCGTAGCCCAAGGATTGAGCATTAAGATGTTCACCATTCTTTCACCAAACTCTTCCATCTTCCCCAAAAACCTCACCCTTTTTGAAAAACACCAAAAACTGACCGAAATATCCAAAGCTCGAGCCCTCGACCTTATCATGACCACCAGCTCATCAGAAACCTTAGTCCCAAACGCCATAAGTTCACCTGTTAAACATGCATACAGTGATTTCTATTACATAGAGATGTACGTTGGCACACCTCCTCAGAAAACCAACTTGGCCTTGGACACCGGTAGCACTCTAACGTGGGTACAATGCGAAGGATGCAAGTCGTGCTTCGAATTGTCAATGCCTAACTTCAGCATCAGGAGATCAACCACTTCCCGGCCCATGCCTGATGATCACCCACTGTGTGTTCCTCCAAACCTTGGTCCTGGAACAAAGGGCCAGAATTGTGTTTATGGGTTGTTCTACTATGATCGCAGTTCCACTTACGGCCCCTTCGGATTTGATACGTTCACATTTTTATCTGAGCAAGGGCAACTAGCTATCCCTAATGTGGCATTTGGGTGGGGACTCTTCAATAAGGTGAACTTCAATGACTATTTTCATGGTCATGATAATCCAATAGGAGGGATTTTGGGGTTAGGCAGGGGTCACCCCACTGGTATTCTACAACAACTAAACCAAATCACCCTTCGAAGATTTTCGTATTGCCTTCCACCACAATTTGAGGCCCAATCATTGCTACATTTTGGTGAGGATGCACAAATTGGAGGTCCCAGTGTTGGTAGCACACCGATTTTGGGCGGTCCAGATGACTATTATTTCATGAAACTGGATGCTATAAGTTTGAATGGACAACGTCTCCAAATCGATCCAAGTTTGTTCATGGCAGGTGGAAAAGGAATGGCAGTGGATTCAGGATCACCATATAGCCATATCGTGGCAGAGGCATTCAAGGTCTTGAAACAAGCTGTGGTGGATTACTTCCATAACATGTATGGATGGCAACCCATGACGCAAAAAAGCAAGACTGGTTTTGATCTTTGCTACCAGAATATCCCTACTGTCTTTACTTCACCATCGGTGACACTTCATTTCGAAGGAGCTGACTTTGTGCTGCATAAACCCACACTCTTCCAGGCCTTTGAACATCACAATGAGTTTTGCATGACCATATTGTCAATGGACCAAAGTGATGGTCTAAACATTCTGGGCGCGGCTCAGCAGGTCAACTATAGGTTCTTGTTCGATGTCGCTGCGCTGAGGTTGTCGTTTTCTCCAGAGAATTGTTGAAGATGGAAGGTTTTAATAAGTTTTGTGTTCATGAAACACCAGCAGAATAGTAACAGTAATAATAATTCAGCATTAGTTTTGTGTTTTGTTCATTAATATATTCTGACTTTTCTCGCAAACTAACATGGATATGCATCCATCTGATTTTATACTCGGAATTTATGATTATAAGAAAGTTCATGGTGCAAGATTGTGCCAATCATTCTTACACACGTTTTGGCAGATTAAGACTATCGTGATGATAACGTGTTACAATAATCTTCGGTCAAATCTGAACTTAGAAAAAGAAAGAAATCAAGGTTTCCCATTACTATCCAGACTTTTGAAAGCTAAAAAGTAATGTGGAAGTTATTAATTTGAAGCATTGGTTCTTTTCAGTTTGGAATGTAACATAAGATCTGTTTGCTGAGTTTCTCCTTGTTTACCATAATCCTAAGCAACATCTTTCTTGACTTTTGTCAACATAAATTAGAATTGAAGACTTTTGTCTTTCTTTGCTGAATGTAAAGAATGATTTAATTCGAACAGGTTTTGATTCTCATTTGAGCAGAACGCAAGTACTTGAGTTTTCTTTTCTGATCTCTGTTATCTCCTCTGACTCCCTCTTTCTCTTTAATTTAAAAACAAAAATTTGAAAGAAATATTACCAAATTGATCAACCTGAGAAAAGCCCAGCTAGTTATTTCAATTACTCATGCAACCTTAAGCATAACATACAGAAACTGAGAATTGGGGTCTGATGGTGATGATGAATAATTAAAATTAAGCCAAAAAAAAAAAAAAAAGAGTTGAACATCTAGTCATTGAGAGATGAATAATTAATTATCCATTGCAATATGTATATTCATGTGTGAGTTATTAGATTATAAAATATTTCTTTACAAGAAGAATTCTATAGACTCGTATCAGTGAGCAGCATGGTACCTCTGTTTCATATGAAGTACCTCTCTGTATTTTCCTGTAGAATCTGCCTAATTATCTTGAGCATAGAAGTCGATGATCTCCTTAAGATTGAGCTTGAACAAAGAAGAACAATCATTATACATCAACCACAACATATGCTCGAAAAGAATAGCATCAACATCCACAAAAACCTTCCTCCCCTTGCCATTCTCATGATCAATAAAATCCACCATCTTCTTGTCCTTGTTCATCATCTCGATTAAAACCCGAAACGGGTTCTCTTCTAGCACAAAAGGGTCTACCAAGAACTCCCTCTTCTCCTTCCCGACCACCACGGTCACCGGATTCTCCAATCCTCCGAACCCCTCTTCGGTTAAATGCCGGTAGCCGCCTATCCGTGACCCCATGCACCTCTTTTTCAGCATTGCAATTGGCAAGACCAAGCAGGCCATTGGAAAAAGAATTCACACAAAAATGAGCCTTACAATATTTGGGGTATGAGAGTATGTATGTGTTTTATTTGCAAATTTTCAAATTTACAATTTGCTTGTGGATTTTGGGTATGTGTTTGTTTTGGTTTTGAGGACAATGAGAACTAGGACGTGCTTATTAATTTGGGAGTTAAGGCGAAGGGATTTACGGGGAAAGTGGTCGACAGACAGGGTATGACTGAATAGGCCAGCCAACGGCTAGAGAGAGAGAGAGAGAGAGAGAGATTTTATTTATTTTTATATTTATTTTTGGGATTTATATTTGTATTATATGGTTTTAGTGTGTCGCTTTGCTGGCAAAAGAGCCGTTGGAAGCTTCGCTGGGTAGCAGGAAATTAGGAAATGGAGTGTGACTGCCGACGGGAGGTAGTGGGCCCACCCCGCCTGCTGGCTGTTGGCGCGTTCCTGATTGTCACCAAAGGAACCTTAGAGACCGTGGCTGGTGGGTCCATTGAAGAAATGCATGAGGTGGTTGAATTAACTTGAACTTTGAGCTCCATTTCTCACCTAGACTATGCTAGAATTCATGTCGGGAGGGATATATTAGACCATGAAACAAATATAATTACTATGAAATCGGAATAATAGGAGATAAATGGATGATTTTGTTCTGTTAATGGATAAAAGTATGTTTAGTTTTCTATTAAACAAGTATCAACACATAGGAAAAGGTAAATAACTAAACAAAATATATAGAATAAGCTTTAGAACATCTAGGGTCGACCAATAATCTCACTGGCCGACTCATTCCATAAGCAACATATATATACATATCTAAGTAAAAATTTGAAAGAATAAAAACTATGAGAAGGGGCCCGTCTCATTCTGGTCTTTAGGTGGTTACGTCATTATTTGCCCCTTTAACTAAAGTTTGGTGTCTCACATTACCCTTTTATTATATAATTAGAATATTTAGGGTCCTTCTAGCATTTTATGTCTCGGCCGAGTTAATTTATTTGAAGACATTGTTAGTCAATTTACAATCACTTCCAAACATATCTTTAACAAAATAAGAAATTATGGTCATATTTATTAGTGATATAGTTCTTATGATGCATAAATGTTATACATGTAGCATTGCACTCCATAGAAATAAAGTGAGATGATGATTAAATCTTAAGGTTAATTTCCCTTGTAATAAAAAAAACAAAACAAAACAAAAGTATTTCTCATAAGTTTCACGGCAACTTCTCTGTTGTTTGGTAGCACCGCTCCTTTGAAAGGGACGGGCTTGAAGTACGTAGGCCCCTATGTGAAAACCGAAGTATCTAAATGCTCACAATAAACAATCATAGATAATGTGCCACCTATTAGCCTGCTGATATTTCAAACGTCGCAATCTTCTTCCTGAGATTTTTGATATTGGTCTTCCTGATAGGAATTGTTCTAATAAACGATGTGCAAATACTACCCATGCTAAATTACTTCACGCTACACTTTATGTGCAAATACCAATTTTTTGCTCCACTCAAAGTTGCATTAGGATACTTACAATTCCTTAAGGCCAAAGTTTTTTTTTCATAATTCAATAAGCACTAACAATTTGGTAATCACTTCTCACACCTAAAATCTCTTCGTCACTACAAAAATAACTACAAAATTAATAATTAAGTTTGAATTCTAACCCTCTAAACCCTCGCTCCCTGAACGACAAATTCTGGGCGGCGAAAACGGCATCAAGCCTCCAGCCACTTGCCTCACCACTACACATGCTCAAACAGATCAAATCTTGATGTAAATTAAAAACATTTCAGGTAACAATTCACATCCGGTCCTGAACTGGATGAAAATACTGGGGGCAGAGATTCCAGGATATGAAACACGAGAATACAATGTGCCAACTGAAACTGTGAGGGAGCGAACCTGTAATAAGATTCCACTCAAGCCTATTCAAGACTGCGATGAAATTTTATATTCGTAAAACAAGTTTACATATTAAGTCAGATACTCCTAGCAGGGAAACAAAGAAAAATGAAAAATAGAAAGAACGATAAAATATTTTAAATGCAATTTAACTCATGAGAACCTAACGGACAGGCGGCATATTCTCAGCTATCAACAATAGCCCATGTTTTAATCATATTTAGAGAGAGAAAGGGAAAGTGTGAACTACCTTGAAAGCAAAAAATAAAACAAAAACTCAACCTAGAACTAAAATAATCCCCTGTGAGTTGTCCCCCCACACCCCCCTTCTCCCTATCCACTAGGCAGAATAATGCAGTCAATACCCGAATGCGCTGTACTGGTAACCCGGAAGCATTTTCCACTTCACTGTTGAGCTTGACCCCATAGTTGGTACATCTGCATATTATGAATGGGTTGACTAGGATTATTGTAGAGCACAGGTCCCCTGTTGAGAGGGCTACTACCATTCTCATCAGATGACTCACTTGAGGCTCCTTGAGAGGAGGGGCTGGCCGCCGTCATCGGTGCACCAAAATTCAACATTTGAGATGGTGGTGGAGAAGAAGGCCCGGATTTTAGGAAGTTGGAGTTGGATTTTTTCCCATCAGCAATAAAACTACCCACAATGACCTGGCAGTGCATTAAAATTGAGTTAAATGCAAAGGCTATATATGCATTTAATGAATTTTCGGCTGTCAAACAGTCAACAGGATATGTTTATTTCCCTGGATATCCTTTTACAACTGCAGAAGATGAACATAGTCATAATTTCATAACTGATCTGAGCAAATAGTAGCAGAGTGATACCTGTACCGGTGATGCTGCCACCAGCATGCCTGCAACTCCACCACCCAAAACTTGGCCATCAGACCCTGCCAAGGATACACTCAAACCACCACTTCTGCTGCGGTTCCCATTATTTTCAGAAAACAAGTACGAACCTGACAACGAAATAATCTCAAATCGACCCTGCAAAGAAAAATACATAGATAATATAAGCACAAAAGATATCGACAATAGAAATAAAGAACTAAACATGAAAAAGATCATCCAGGTTTATATAAGTTTGTCAAATAACACCAGAAATGAATCACATGACTATGTAACATTGAGTGCTCAAACAAATTTGTGCATTCGTTGGACAAAGATCAACACTGGAAAGAGTAGAACACATTACCAATGCCTCAGTTAATGTGTAAGTGGAGCGGGCATGAAAGTGAGTGAGTGATTGTGCATGTGAGAAAGGAGAGGGGGACTGATGTGCATGTGAGTGTGTGTAAGAGAGAGAGAGAGAGAGAGAGAGAGAGAGAGAGAGAGAGAGAGAGAGAGAGAGAGAGAGAGAGAGAGATCTGCTTAAGCAAACTTCAATAAGAATGTCATCGCTCAATAACAAAGACTATTTAAATTTACAGTAGCTCCAATTTTACAAAATAGTACTCACTCTATTAAAAGAACGAATTTTGGATGTATAGAAGAAGGTTTGAAGGTTCTGAGATTCGGTTGCATATGCTTAACCTTCAAATTGTGAGATTGCCCGTATACCACATCTATTCATTTGTTTCTACTTTTTCAATTGTTTGGATGGTTATTCCATATGCATTTGTTTCATCAGCCTTGTTAGTCATCAACAGAAAACTCTACAATGTTTCCTTACTTCATGATTTCATGGCCTCAAGTTTCCTAATTCAATTGCGTTCATGTAATTTACTGACTGCATGCAAAATTGAAACTTATTTAATTATGGATGCTCTTCGAGTTCAATTATCATACCATTAAAAAAACCAACAAAATTGAGATTCCTGGAATAATATTGGTCCATATAAGGAATCACATCTCCTATGCAAAAAACAGATCAAACTTAAGTGCTGTAGTACAGACTGTCAGGTCTTTAATGCTACATAATGCTGAATAAAATGTTATTTGAGAATCCAAATAGCATAATAAATTATGCTAAACGGCATGGAAATTCCATTGTGGAGTAATATAATCTAAATGGTAAGACTAAACTAAACAAAAAGCACCCCAGCCTCAACCCACCCCCAAATATACACGCGAGAGAGAGAGAGAGATCATCATAGTATCGAGACAATAAACAGCAGCCATACTAATGTTCTCCAAGAAAATCATTTGCAGAAACAAAACAAAATAATATTTTCACAAAACACAAATCAGATTATATAGATGTTGACTGAAATTGAAAATGTCATATCTGTAATCCTCAATTTCTGTAAAATGAGGATATCCAGTGCAAGCTAATGTAGGTGTGGGATAGCACTACAACCTTCAAATGATGAAAACATAGCATACTTAAGAGGAAACCAACAGAGAAATATGAAGTATTTTCAAGGTGAGAAAACTTTGTGCACCATGCTTCTGATATAAATTTCTGCTCCCAATATACTTTTATAATTAAGGAATTTTATTGCTTCTGGACCAGACATTTAGAACTGATTGCTTAAAACCCACGTAGCACTTAGTATTATTTTGATAGGAAACAAGACTTTATTAACAAAAGAAATTGTAAGATACAAACAGACTTGTGCTTCTCGCAAAATAATGCCACACATGTAGCTGGAATCACCGAGCTAGAGCTCAATATGAACCAACCATGTCAGTCGGTTTCAGGGACAATTTGCCAGATTTGGGTTTGAGTAAATTGGTCCATTTTTTGTCTGTCTTGCGAAACATGCATATCCACCATAATTACCAGAAAATGTCACAATAAAAGCTTAAGAAAGAGAGCTGGCAGTGGTAACTGTGGGATCCCTATTAACAGACAATTTATATCTAACCTTTCAAAACCAGTAAAGGTAGTGCAAACATCTGGAACATTGTTTCCATGTGCCTTGATATCACCTTGAATAAAATTTACTTACTAGAAAAAGAGAGTATTTAACTCAGAATATTTAACTCATTATACATTAAAGGACCCCACAGAAAATGTCTTATAACTATGAATGCAAAGTACTCAATCTAGAGGGAAGGTCGTAAATTTGACTACAAAGTACTCAATGTAGAGGAGAAAAGGTTGTAAATTTGGGTTTTCATTACTCCACAGTAATAAATTCAAAATGAATGACATTTTCTTACAGCATGACCCATTTTTATATGGACAAACAACAGCTTTTCTATATGGTACAAAAAAAATTTGTATTTGTAAAATCGAGAAGAGGAAGGTAATATCATAACTATACACAAGTTTGTAGGTTTTTGCATCTGTTATCCTGAGTCCTCATCAAACTCATTTCTGGTTCTGTAATATTGCAGTAAGTACATATAGAACCACATCCATG